AATGAAGTCCAGCTATTCTATTCCATTCCCTTGATATTTTTTCTTTTCTTGAGATTGAGGCTTATGTATCTGCATTGCTAGTTCTCACACCCCCATCTAACAAAACCTAATGGCTTTGTCTTGGCTTTATACTAGTCATTCTATTATGAAGGAAAGGCCATCATGTCAAATGAAGAATTTGATAACCTCAAGGAAGAATTAATGTGGGAAGGGAGCAGCGTTGTCATGCTAAGTATAGAACAATTTCATTTTGAATTTTCAAAATTTTCACAATATGGTGTTTGTATGACATCATTATGTGCCCTTAAGTAGCTTAAGCGATACCAATTCCTCTCTATGTAGGTGCTGATGAACAGAGATTTTTGGAAGCTTCTATGGCTTATGTATCTGGGAATCCGATTATGACAGACCAAGAGTTTGACAAGCTGAAGTTGAAACTTAAGGTGCTTTCCCATTGGTCAATCATGTTCTTATATATTAGTGTTTGGTATATAAAACACCAGAAGAGTATAATTTTCCTACTGAATTTTATTATTAAATTTACCTTTACTCATCAAAAGAAAAAGAAATAACAACGAGTAAGAGCAAAGTAATTGTTATTTTGAACATTGTTGCCTGTTGGTTAAATAAAGAGACTGATTACTTGGTGTAAGCTCAGATTCTGGAATATAAAAAATTATCCGGTACTTTTTTTTCTTATCGGCTAATTTTATGTGTGACTGGCAACTTATATGGGGTTATTCGATTATCACAATAAAAGCTATTCTTCTATTTATTGTCCCTGTGGAATGGTCATACCAGAAATACATTGCTACTTATTCTTGTTCTCTTATTCATTTTCTTTGTTAAAATATCTTATTCTTATGCCTTTTTCTAAATTCTCTGTATTTTTATCTCTTAATTTCTAGATGGATGGCAGTGATATTGTGGTTGAGGGTCCACGGTGCAGTCTCCGTAGTAGAAAGGTTTGTCCTTCATTTTTTCCATCTGCACTATGAGGACGTGCTACATTTTTGCCATTATGTATACTCATATTATGCCTTTGATCAAATTTACTGCAGGTTTATAGTGACCTTTATGTAGATTATCTGAGGATGTTCTTGCTAAATGTCCCCGCAGCTGTTGTTGCGCTTGGATTGTGAGTAGCATTTCTTTCTCTCTCAGTACAACTTCACAATTGCTTCACAAAAAATGTTTACTTTTGAGCTTTTAGGAAGTAAGAAAAGGAGAAAACTTGTGTTAGAAAGTGTGAAGGTTGTTCTTTCTCGCATCTGTGTTTATAATGTGACATTTATTCCTTGGGAACGGGACCGTAGTTTGAGATAGTAAAAGAAGAAGAAACGCAGACAACCGACTTCAAAAATAAGGACAACTAGCTCTCTCTTAAAGTTTTTTCCGCCTGACCCTAATGTTTCCATCAATTTTATAAGTTCATTCTTAAACTTTCTTGCTTGTATCTTGATGATCTTCACACTTCGTGTCAAAAAAGGGAAGACAAAAAGATAGCACCATATTTATTTGTGTTCTTAGTTCATAAAGCAACACTCCCAATTTTCTTTAATATATTTTATTTGGCTGCTGTATTACAGGTTCTTCTTCCTCGACGATATCACTGGATTTGAGATCACCTATCTTTTGGAGGTAAATATATATCATTCCCTTGCCTGGTTCTTCTCTTTTTCTCTCTAGTAAAAGTGATTAAGTGCAGAATATTCTGCATTAGCCTGATCAAAAACTTGTGAACGTTCATTAGCTTTAGCAAAGTGATACGAAGTTGGAATATCTCAAAGCATGAGACAATACTAACATGGGAGGCGATTCTAGATGGATTTGAAATAGCATAGCAGAATGTCTCTGAATGTATTGATCGAGGCAATATATGGTAAATTAGGAGTTCAAACTAGTTTCTCAAAAGGATTTGAAGTACCAGTGGTGTTGGTAATTACGCCTAATCTTTGTGAGAGGAGTTAATAATTACTATTACTCTTGTGCAAAGTCTGCATATGTGGTCCTATATTTGTATTCATGCACATATTGGAAATAAGAATTCAACTGGTTCCTTGAAAATTAGTTCTAAATCTGTCTATGATTGTCTCTGCTTGTCCTAATGATTCTTCGCCATTCCTGGGAAAAACTAACTCTGATCCTTTTTCTTTCTCTCCAAAACTAAAGATAATCTGTGGTTCGTATATTTGCAGCTTCCGGAGCCATTCAGTTTCATTTTCACGTGGTTTGCTGCTTTGCCCTTCATATTGTGGCTATCCTTTACAATTACAAATGCTATCATTAAAGATTTTCTGATCTTGAAGGTATAAGTTCATAAGCTTTCTCTATGATGATGTAAAGGTTGTATTTATTTGAAATTAATGCGTGATAAGCTTAAATTTCAGGGCCCCTGTCCGAATTGTGGAACAGAAAACACTTCCTTCTTCGGTACCATACTATCTGTGTCTAGTGGAGGTAACACTAACAAAGTGAAATGCGCAAAGTAAGTCGAAAAGTGTCTTCTAAGGAAACTTATCATCATTCTCTACTTTATTTATATCTCCATAGTCTAACCAATGCTATAATCTTTTTCAGTTGTGGAACGGATATGGTCTATGATTCTGGCACACGTTTAATCACATTGCCGGAAGGAAGCAGTGCATGAGTCTAGGTACATATTCTCTTTTATTGTTACTTAACAACGATAAAATAAGATGATTATATTTTAACAAAAAACAAGTTATCTATATATATTTCTAGCCATGTCATTATTCAAACCAATGAGCTTATTTGCTTGTTTGCATTGAGAACTTAACAGTTCGAGACAGAGTATAAACGCAACGCCAAATCTAAAAAGCATATAGATGTAAAGAAGCTGACCCTTCATTGCTCTATTGTCCTCTGAGAGGACTGTTAATGACCAGTTTGCAAGACGGTCTGCAGATGAGAGTGGACTTTTGGTTGCCTAGTTCTTTCCTGACATCAGATTTAAGAAACTAAACTATTTACCCTCTATTGATTAGGACAAGAATAAGTTGAGTAGCAGTAAATCTTGTTTTGTCAACAAAATTGTGATTCCACTGTTCTAACTTCAAAAATAGAATCTAAAGGTTAAGAAGTAGTACTTCCACATAACATGCATACCACTTGAAAAGTTTCACCAATTCTGGACCTTTACTGGCTGTGAAGTACTGAGAGAGATTAATGAATGCGGCATCTTTATGTATAGTTCTTTTCTATACTAAATTCTCAATCTAAAAGATGTTAGTTGAATGGCGCTTGTTCCATAAGACCCAAAAGCTAGCCCATGAGGTGAGTAAAATTCAAGACCATATAAGTAGTCCAAGTTACCATGTTGAGCCGATGTGGGACTCAACTCTCCCCTGCACGCCCACGACTAGGACTGGACAAATTGGAGCATCGACAACATAAGATGGGGGGCCCAACATTGGGTAAATAGTGAGATGGGACTTGCTCAGATACCATGATAAATGGACCTTGAGCCTAACTCAACCTCAAAAGCTAGCTCAAAGGGTGAGGATTCTATCCTAGGGGCCCAACATGGGGGACCTGACTCTGATACCATGATAAATGGATCTGGGGCCTAACTCAACCTCAAAAGCTAGCTCATGAGATGAGGATTGCCTAGACTATCATGTAAGGAGTCCAAGTTACCCATCTTTAGCCGATGTGGGACTCAATACTTACTACTGTCTCCTGAAGTTCTAAAACATTCATATCGGATCTTGTTTTTTCTTTGTAGTTTTGGTGGTATGGAATGATGGTAACTGTTAAACCATCCTGGTTTCTTAAAACATTACTTGTAAAATGCAGGGCGATTCTATGTGTGAGACATCTGCAAACAGATTGCACTAACACCAACTGCATGGGAGAGAGATCATATCATGGGTATTTTGAGGGCAATTTGTAAAAATAAATACCATTTTCCTATGTTAAATGGGGGATGCTTTGCAACTTGCAGCATGTCAATATGTAGTTAAGTAATGTATATTATGCATGTATATACCACAGGCAAAGTTTAACACTCTGTAAGCACAGGTGATCTTATGAGTGTTTTGATTCAGATTATCATCTTGAATAGAGTTGAAATTGTTTTTGTCAGTCAGTGGTGAAGCCAGAAATTTCCTCAAGAGTGTTCAAACTTGAAAGAAGTGAAAAAAATACCTTTATAAAGGGTGTTTAGTATATGTTATATACCGCTAAAACCTATTACTTTACCTATATATCGACAAAGGGTTATCAATTGACCACCCCTTAACAACAAATTTAGCTTCGCCCCTGTTCTGAGTTTCCCTTTCTTGAATGCCACATAATAGCCAAAATAATTTGCAGAGTCAGTTGTGGATCCAATCATGAGTGCGCGGATTCAGAAAATTAGAGTCACACCATTTTATGTCTGCGCACGAAACCTTCAGATAAACATTTTACAATTCACTCTCTCAACTCAGAACTTCGAGTTTTTAAAGTTTAGATCCGCCATTGGCTATAATTAATTATCTTCAAAAAAAAAAAAAATGATTGATTCTGCCGTTGAATTTATCTGATTTCCATCTTCTACTTGCCACGTATCCATGCATACCAAACTCTCTCCTCGTCTTATTATTTTTTAAATTAGTTATTCCTTCTACCCTTCAAGATTTCTTGAAGTTGTTTGTCGGATGGCCAATGCAACTAATCATATCAAATTCATAGAATTTAGAATTATCTTTTTAGTTCAATGTTCGCCAACATTCTAAGAACATTTCTATTGTTAGGAAAAAAATGAATCTAACAAACAGTACGGCTAAGCACAATAGCATAAAACCTGCTCGCACGTTGCCAAAAGCAAATTAAATGTCAAACCTTGTAGTTTGGTTACGTGGTATAAAGATAAATAAATTCTATTCTATAACGAAAAAGTTGACTTTATAGCCTAACATGTTCGTGGGGGCACGAAGGCTACATTTTGTTATACCTTAAGACACAAACTATAAAAGGCCTAATTAAGTTACAAGTCAATTAAGCCATAACAAAATTTTCTGAAGTGAAACATTAGGAAACAAGCAACAATGGCATCTTTCATCTGCAGATGGATATTGAGTTTCTTCCTCATTGCGACAATGGCACTTATTAACCAAGCAATAGCCTCTGGCTACTATACCACCCCTAAGTTTAAAGCCATGCCTTGGAAGCTTGCTTATGCCACGTTCTATGGAGACGAGACTGCTTCTGAGACAATGGGTGCGTTACACTAGCCAATCAATTATCCCTCGATTCCAAACTAAATCAGACAGTCAATGAATTTTAACTTATTGTAGCAGGTAATCTATCTTATTTTTCAAGTAACTAATTCGACTCGTTATTGCAGGTGGAGCTTGTGGATATGGGAATTTGTTCAATTCTGGTTATGGAACAGCAACTGCAGCATTGAGCACAGTGTTATTTAGCAATGGATATTCATGTGGGCAATGCTTCCAAATACAATGTGTGAAGTCTAAATTTTGCTACAAAGGATTTACGACCGTTACAGCCACAAATCTCTGCCCACCCAATTGGGCCCAAGACTCCAACCATGGTGGCTGGTGCAACCCTCCACGTCAGCACTTTGACATGGCTAAACCTGCTTTCATGAAAATTGCTCAATGGAAAGCTGGCATTGTCCCCGTTATGTACCGCAGGTATGTTACGTATAAATTACACTAAAAAGTATAAACATTATTTACAGTGATAGTATATATAAGTTAAATCAAGATTTAAGAATCAATATTAAGGACGAGTGAGATTGCTCTAGTGGTTGAGCACCTCAATAATCAACCAGTAGGTTAAAGGTTCAAGTCATGTAATTTTAAGAAACTCCTTAATATTTGAACTTTGTACCTCTGTAGCTAACCTTGCATTATTTCTTGCATCTCTAATTAATATGGTGTTACTTTCTTGTGATTTGCAGGGTACCTTGCATTAAGAAAGGCGGGATTCGGTTCGCATTCCAAGGAAACGGTTACTGGTTATTGGTATACGTGATGAACGTCGCTGGAGGGGGCGACGTGGAAAGCATATGGGTGAAGGGAAGCAAAACAGGGTGGATGAAAATGAGCCATAATTGGGGAGCATCATACCAGGCATTTGCAACACTTTCAGGACAATCTCTTTCGTTCAAGCTCACTTCCTACACAAATCATGAAACTATTATAGCTTCTAATGTTGCACCTTCTAATTGGCACGTAGGCATGGCTTACCAAGCCAAAGTCAACTTCCATTAGTCATGTGATGGGTTAAATATTGGCCAATGCAGATTAGTCGGGCCAATGAGTTCTAAATAATTTCCTCTAAGCCCTCTAGTAATCTTGAGCCTCAACCAAAGGCCGCATTTCTTGGCTTTTCACTATCTGGCCCCCGGAGGAGTGGTGCTATGGTTTTCTTCCTACAAAAGTCTTGCTATAGTTTTTACCGCAGACTTTTAGTTTTATTTTAAGATTTTGTACCTAGTCTTTCACACCTGATCGAAGGATTGTACAATTCTTGCAATGCTGAAATAAAACAATAATATGATCGTTTATAGTTACTATAATTTCTCTTTCGAGTTTTGTACTATTCACTACAAAAAAAAGAAGCAAATTTGCGACCGTCAAATCGGTCGGAAATCGGTCGGAATCGGTCGATGTTTTTCCGACTGAAAAGTGTCAGTTGGAAACACGTGATCGCAATATATTTGCGACAGATCAGTCAAAAATTTGCGACGCTTTCAGTTTGCAAAAATATGGGGACATTTGAATTTAAGACATTTGCGACGGAATTAGCCGCTAAATTTGCGACTGATTTAGTCGCTGACCAGAATACAAAAATAAACACAAATTAAAAGTTTTGATTGATTTCGTCGGAAAATTAAAAAATAAAATTAATTTTTAATTAATTATTCCGATTGAAACAGTTGTAAATATTGAGTATTAATTAATTAAAAATCTAAGAAATTCTCCATTTGCGACTAATTTAGTCGCAAATCTTAAATAGATTTTGTTAGAAATTCTCAATTTGTGACTGAATCGGTCGCAAATCTGGGTAATTTCTGGTGAATTTTTGACTGATTCAGTCGCAAATCTGGGCATTTTTAGCAGAATTCTGCTGTATTTTTAGTTACGCCATCTGCCAAATAAAAAAGCCAACCAAACACCTAACAACCAACAAAAAACCTAATATAACAATCCAAATCCAATATTTACTACAAAACAAACAATAATATTTACAACAATTCAACCAGCTATCAAACAACATAAATTAAATATGTTTCTAACTTCAACTCTAAAACATTCGAGTAGCCTATTCAGAATCAGGATGTGTTTGGTATTTACGAAAAATATTTTTCCATTTTCACTGTTTGGTTGCACAAAATAGTTTGAAAAATATTTTCCTGAAATTGGAGGAAAATAATTTCCCTAGAAAAAGTTAGGAAAACATTTTTCAAAAACTCCACCTACCTTCACATCTAACCCCAACCCTCTCCAACTTCAATTTTATGTTGTTTTCATTTTTTTGCGCCCCTACCCACCCCAAACCCGTCAAACCTCCCCTCCCACTGCGATTTTTTTTACTTTTATTTTTTGTATTTTCAATTTTTCTGTTTTCTGTTTTAAAGTTTTTCTGCCCCCCACCGCCCCGCTCCGCGGGGCAAAAAATAATTTTTTTATATTTTCAGTTTTGTTTTTTTATTTTTCAGTTTACATGTTCGAAATTTTACGAGTTTCAAAGTTATGAGTTCAGACGTTTATGTGTTTGGAAGTTTGCGGGTTTATAAATTATAGAGTTTACGGGTTCAAAAGTTTAGCGGTTAAGAAGTTTATGAAATTTGTGGGTTCGAAAGTTTGTTGGTTCGAAAGTTTATGGCTTCATATTTATTGTATCCAAATTATTTATGAATACTCTTCAGAAGTTATTTTCCTTAATTTGCGTACCAAACACCAAAAAATGAGTAAAATTACCAATTGTTTTCCAGGAAAAATATTTTCCGTTATACCAAGCACACCGTCAGTCTCCTCCTCAGACTTAGACTCAGACTCCATTGTAGGTCCTTTCTTGCTTTTTTTAAAAAAAAATAATTTTTGGATCAAAACCCGAGTTGCTTGAAATTCTTGCGACATTTGATCAACCTTTTGACGCATAGCTTCCTTGTTTTTTTGGGAAACTGATGCCCCAGTGAATAATGTTGCTGGTGCAAGACTGGAGGATGGATGTACTCCAATCCCGTAGACTCGACCTTTATTTATTATTTTCACAAGAAATAAAGAAAAGAAAGTAAAAGAAGTAGGAAAACAAACACGCAACTTTCAAACTAATACCAAAATAGATAATTACATAATATTTATACCTTTATTCACGCCACCAGCCGCCTGTGTCTAAATTGCAGTCATATCCTCCAAGGCCGGCTGAGTTCCTTCAGGCTGAGTTTGTCGCCATGCATCAAGATCAATATGATACTTATCCTAAAATAAAAATAATACACGTTATATAAATAAAATAAACCAAGAGAAAAAAATAATATAGTGTTGGTGTTGGGATCATACAAATGTCTCTGATGCACGCGATTCGACCCATCCTTCTCTTGTATCGTCCTTCTTGTGGGCCTCCGCAAAGACCTCAACATAAGTCTCTCTCTCTCTCTCTC